TTTCTCCCGTCGGCTTTGTCGGCACTTTCGTTTTCGTGCCGACTGCCGACGTCGGCGTTTCCGACATAATTGTCAGAACTTGAGTAGAAATGTGAATACGAAAAGGAGGATGACCTAAATTATTTACTTTCAGTTTCGTGCTCGAGCGGCCATTTTGAATTTCGTTTTGTTGACAAATTCAATTGTTCAGATCGTGTGGATTCATTCCAGTCCGACTCACTTAGGCTAGATAATAGAATCTAGATCTAGATTTATATAGATCATTATAGACCTCAATGGAGGATTCATATTCCAATTCTATTTTGTCAAACCCTATCATAGGCTGTTTTGTAATATTAATGTTGGTAAAAGGCATTTCATCAGGTCCGTGAATTATTTATTTATTTAGAATCTAGAATCTAGACCAAGTCTAGACTCAGCTGAGCCCTTCTGATCGGAATCGGATGCGGATTTCTAGTTCAAGGCCTATTCCTAGATCCTATTCACTTGTTCTACAAGATCTAGATCTAGATTTATTTAGTTTACTAGATCTAGATCTATATGGAGGATTCATATTCCAATTCTAGAATCTATTGTGTTATTGTATCAAACCCTATTATTATAGATCTAGCAATGTTAGATGTAGGCCATTATGCTCCTTGTAAGCCTTGTTTGTTTTGGAGTGTGGTTTTAGAATTTTAAAAATGTTTTTCATTTTGGACTTTTGCTGGCCTTTTCATATGAGGCTCGTTGCAGGTTCTTTTTTGGGGTAGGGGTAGGGTTAGGTCTCTTCTTTGTTGTGTTCGTTGGGGTGGTCGCTCGTTACTCGGAAGTCCTTCCTTATGACACCCACAAAAGCTCTTTGGGGGGGGGGGTTGCGCAAAATTTTCAGACAATCTGGTTGAGGCTCGCATGCAGGTCTACAAGATCTACTTTCGCTTTCAGAAATAAGCCGGTGATAGACTGATAACTAACGCAACATTTGTGACATGCAGGTTGTGCAGTATAGATATATATATATAATATATATATTGATCTGTCTAAACGCTGTGCCGCCACGCAAATAAAATTTAATTAGTACTCGGATTCGTCTCTGTGCTGTCATTGTCACATGGGGGGGGGGGGGGAGAAAAGAAAGTACAAGCGTCGTCTGATTTTTAGATTGATGGGCTCGCCATGGTGAACGGTCAGTGAACCTGTGTGCGCGTGAGCACCAGCGTTTGTTGTTGGGGTCGCCAAAGTTCATTCAAAGTCTGAGCGTTGCGAAGTATAGGCCTAGGACTACCTAATGGGGCAGGGGATTATTGATTTTTTAAAAAGATGCACTCAGGGGAGGGAGTGCTAAAGGCAACACCAGAGGACAAAAACTTTGTATGGGTGATAGTAAATTATAACAATATTGTAGCTTTCTGTTCAAGGCTGGCAAATTTTCATTGTCTCTGCATCTTCTCCCCCCCCCCCCTTCCCCCTCAGTTTTTACAACTCTCTCACTTCATGGGTCTACTGGGGCCATTCAAGTTATTGAGTTTGAGCAATAATTTTTGCCTTTCATGTTCATAATATTATGAGTCATGACACCCACATTGGTTCTTCACAGTCGAAATTCTTGTTCAAGGCCCTTCCGAACGCTCAAAGCAGGATTCTTTTTTTAATATAATATAATAATGAGAGAAAAATTTATAACTCACTGAAATACTTAGGGTAGTCAAACAGGACCCCAGTTCAACACTGACATATGTTGTTGACTGGGTATATTTTGTGTGTGTGTGTGTGTGTTGTTATGTAACACGCCCCTGGAAAATGGATGACTTTGTTGCGTGTTATTTTCGCTCCATATCATATATTATGTAGGCCTAATGATAATATATGTTAATGATGGAGCAAATGAACTCCCTTTTTCGAACTGGTGTGGGACTTGATTTGCTGGGCAGTAATTTTTTTTCCAGGTAGTAAATTTTTTCATCAAATATTGCTGGACATCCTGTTATGTGAACCGGAAAGGGGGGGAAGGATACTTGAAAACTAAACGGGGGCCTTGATAACTTGCGTTTTTGTTGCATTTTAATCACAATACAATAGTCATTTGTATTTGCTTGATTGCATGACAGAAGAATAGAAACATAAAAGCAAACATCTTGAGAAGTGGTATGGCATTGTGTTTGCGTTATGAAAGCCTATTCCCCCCTCTTGGGAAAGCACACACTTGGAATCGTCCTGTGTGCTCTATTTGGAAAAGTGAGGCATTAAGATTGTTATTAAAGAGTATGGTACTTATTTAGTCCAGTCTGGGAAGATAGTCCCGTTTGTACATTATCGTTCATGCGTGCGTGCGTTAGTGTGCGCGCGTGCATGTGTGTGTGTGTGTGCACGCATGAGAGAGAGAGAGAGAGAGGGGGGGGGGGGGGAGGGTGTAAATATGTTACATTTATTGTATGAGTTGTAGCCTACACATGCGAAATATTCCCATGACTTGTAAACTATATTATCTGAACGCATCTTAATCTACCACACAATAGGACACTGTCCAACAATGGATACACAGAGACGATCTTATTTTCTATAACAAAGTATGCATGCTTTTACTAGTACAGAACTGGATTTATTAGACTAATAAATCCAGCTCTCTACTTACATTTTTGTGACAAATTGATCCAGAACATTGCTTGGCAAGGAGGAACCTTTTATGTTGCCAAGTTTCATTCAAATATCTTGACTTTGGGAGAACATATGACTGATAATCTTTGTAAATCTGTGTAAAAGACCGCCACTTTTTTACCTGTTTATGTCTTTACAACTCAAAAAGTATGACAGATGTAAAAAATCTGACTGCATGACTAGATTCTGCACTAAAAAATGTACTAGACTGCCAAGTTTCATTTACATATTCCAAGAAATAGGCGAGCTATGACAAATATTGTCTCAAAACGCACCGAAAACCGCCACATTTTTACCTATAAACGTCTTCATAGCTCAAAAAATAGGATAGCTATGAAAAATCTGAAAGCAGGACTAGAAAATGTACTGGGTTGCCAAGTTTCTTTTAAATACTCTGAAAAATGAGCGAGTTATGACGAATATTGTCTCAAAACTCACCAAAGAATGTCCCATATTTTGGGGTTTTTTCATTATATAAAAGTGTACCAAAAGTTAATTGATTAAAAAATCCGTAA